CTCCCTTTCTAAAATCTGTACTAACCTCTCAGTTACACCTGAGCCTCAAGACTGAATTGACTGGCATCAGTAATTTGTATTCAACAAGCAACCTGCACAATACCTTCCTACAAAAGTGCTCCACTGCCAGCAATTTCTCAAGAACCTACAGGAGCCTAGTTTCATTTATAGCCCCAACCTCTCTGGGAAAAAAAAAAAAGTAACTTTTCATTTGGAGGATTTTACTTATTTAATACTGTAAGTCCTTTTCTTCCTGTTGATTTATCTTTCTATTGCAGAACTCTTGACATGTATTCAAAAAGGTAACTTTTGTCTTTATGGGAAAAGAATCTTATTGAATAGCCAAAGGATGTCTCATACAGGAAAGCCACATAAATGGTGCATGAAGCTGTAAGAATCAAGCTGTTAAATGGAAGACCAGGGCTCCGGAACTAACTCAGACTTCCAGGCCCTAGGGGGAATACTGAGAAGCACTGCACATTTGAAGAGGAATTGAAATTGTCAGCGAAAGAACAGAATCTGTTCACCCTCAAGTTCCTAATTAGACAACTCACAGTGAGAAGTGACCACTTAAATGATGAGCACAGAAGAGGAAGGAGAATGCCTTCCTTAAGAAACAAAGGTCTGCATTAATAAACTAACATCCTGAATTATAATCCAGATTATAATTCAAATGGTTTCAATTCACACACACAATTTGCACAAAAATTTTGTATTTATTATTTTTCCAGTAATTCAAACAGAAGAATATATTTAAATAAAAAGTAATGCTGAATATAATAGAAAAAATAGAAATAAAAAAAATCTTTTATATTATGTTGATTAAATGTTGAAAATTGCAGCTTTAGCTATTTAAACATGACCCATACAGCACTAATGTGCTGAATAAACTTACAAGGAATTTAATTTTTTAAATGTCACTAATTTCTGAACAACTTCCCATATCTACCACTATTTGAACTTAAATCCATATTATATATTTATGCTGTGGTTTATATCAATCTCTATGATTCCAAACACTAACATCAAATATAGATGGTTAAAATAGATGATTAAACAATCCTAAAGCTGCAATTTTTGTTTTATTGCATATATTTTAAACATTTCAAGACTAAATTTCTTCATAGGAACTAAATAAATAATAGTTTATCATCCTAGCATAAAATAAGCTACAATGTTAAAAATAATACACAGTATTTTCACTCTGATGTAATTTAGCTTTAAGTATAGTGAAGTTAATATCTGATCTGCAAATATAATATGAAGAATTTAGAGATTAAAAAAAAAATGTTCCTTTAACAGTCCAAAGACTTAACTGATTCCAAATGTGCCTACATGAGAATGAACAGAATATGTGAATGGATTTAGAAAGTGCAGTCAGTGCTGCCCTTCACATTCACATTATTATTAATTGGGGTCATTCAATAAAGAGTAGAGAAGCTCATTTTCCTGTTGGTAGTGAAACAGATGCTGCCTGCTAGCTTAGAAATATAGTCCTAATGTCAGTTGTATAATAATTATTTAAGCATTTGGGGGAAAAAATACAACTTTTGCCTGAATAATACCACATTATTGGGATGTCAGAAAGAAACTGATAATGAGAGATCTTTTTTTATACAGCAAAAACTTATACAGCAAAAACTTATACAGCAAAAACTTAATATGATACATTACTAATTAAACAGGAGAGTTTAACTAGTTGCATTTCAGATATAAAGGCCTGGTTTTTATAGGAGTGTCTGAGGCCAGATACTCATGGCAATAAAGTATAGATTAACCAATTTTGCAGTGACTTCTTATCTTTTAGGGAAATCATCCACACCTTTTTCTAATGAGAATAGATTTTTTTTAAATCTTATACAGTTTACATCATTTGCATCGCTCTAATTTAATTTAGTTGCAATTATAATGTAATTTGTTATGTATTTATCTTCCTGATTCTAATAACATTTTCTTGCCTCTGACAATGCACAGATAATCACGTTGAGTTATTAAAAAGACTCCACACATTTTTCTGTAAGTATGAGACAAAATCTATGAAAAAGATATACTCCTTTGACTTTGTCTGTTACATAGAACGTATTAGTAAACCAGGGCAGAATGTCTAAGAGTATCTCCAACCTGAGATACCTACTGAATAAATGTAATTACAGAGTCTTATACTTCTCATTAAAAATACAAATCTAAAAAAGTGAACTGTCCACAAATGAATGTTTTTCTTTAATCTTAATAAAAACAATAACTCCATAGGACATCTCTATTCTAACTAACCAGTTGCATGCATGAACAACCATCCTACTGTTGCCTCCACTTGTTGCATGTTAATCCACAGGTTGTCCCATTGAACTTCACAGAAAAAATGAGGTAATGCTCAAATTTTCTCACTCTGATAATTGAGGTAATGCTCTGCTCCACAGATAATTATACCAGTGCTGCTCTTGCCCTCAGCACTGTGGAGAAAGGTGCTATTCTAGCCTCAGGAAGGATATCAGACTTCTAAGCATTTCCTCAATGATATAGAGAACAAATTGTCACTCTTGTCATTCCTGAAGGATCTTTTTGCTTTAGTCTGCTGTAAAAGGCTTTGTCTTTGGTAAGGTTGATTTGGTCTTCTTGTCCTACATGAGACTGAAGTTTTCCTGCTGAATCTACCAGAGGCAATAACAAAACTCTCAAATGGACCCATTAGAAAGAACCTCCTATAAAGCTTTGTACATGACCAGCTAAGTGTTCAAAAGCCCTTTGAAATTACAAGCAAATGAGGCTGCATTTACAAATGGCCTTGCTCTCCTTTGGGTTGAAACATTCAAACCAGTAAGCCCAGTCTCTAGACGCCCAGGTGGATCACCACACTTTTCAGCAACAACCCATTCACCGCCCCCTGAGTGTGACATAACATCGTTTCTGGCACACCAGAAATATCTGACGATGGAAACTAGCTTGCCCCATACAGTCTTCCTTTCTCACCAAGCACTAGGAACCATCACACTGGCACTACACAGTCATTTTATTTTTTGTTATGAGAAAACAAAATGGAATTGCATCAAATCCTAATAAAACATTTAATCTCATGAACAAATAATGCCAGGTGAGAGCATGCCAAGCTATGGGGGGATTTGCAAAGAGGAAGATATTCAGATGAAATAAACCAGTCTAATAACCTGTACAGTGTATTCATTCTTAGGAACAATCACGTCACTGAACATCCTAATCAGTCTAGCTCGTAAGAGTTCAGAATGAACCATCACTGAGACCAAATCATCCATCACATCTAGAAAGGGTGTCCCCCTTTAGGTCAGGTCTGAAAATAACAGTGTAACAGTCTAGAGACAAAAATGTAGCAACAACTTATATTATACCTCATGTGTAAAAAAAAAAAAAAAAAAAAAAAAAAAAGTTGTTTTCCCCTACTGAAGCTCTTTTAAGTTCGTAAGTATAACATACATAAGCATACCAAGTAGCTGAATATTACATTATATATAAACACCTTATCTCTAAAATGACATAATATTGAATTAATAATGAAACAGAATTTTCATCAGAAAAGTCATGTGTGTGTCTTCCATTGCTTCATACGTGGTAGGATCATATGAACATGAATGTTAGGCTCCAGTATGGAATTGTGTTTTATTGCATTACATCATAGTATGCTGACCAAATCCACAGATTTTCATATACCTATGCACACACATACAAACACCTCGTAACTTCATCCTTTAAATAGGCTTGAGGGTATATTTGATTTTAGTAAACCGGCTGGAAACACAAGAAAGAAAATATGAAAACCTATCAAAAGTTTTATGACAGTATAAGAACTAGTATAGTTCTTATACAGACTAGTATAAGAAAAATACATTAGTGTATCTTTCTTGGTTTTGTTTTGGTTTTAGAAATACATAATTTTAGAAATGACATTAAAATACAAAAGGTCACATCAAAAGCCAGCAATATCTTTATAAAGGATCATACATTTTCATTGTCAATTGTGACAATGTCAATTGTGTTCATTTAATGTTGAATTATTCTATTAAACTTTAGGAAAGGAGGTACAAACACACAAAGTATAACAATAAATAGTTTCTACTAACTGGCAGAACTTAGTATGAAATTGCTTTCACTCTTCGTAACCTAACGCAGATCTTTGTTTATAAAGCTCATGGTTTCAGAAGCAGCACCACCTATTGGATGAAAAATGTAGGTTAGTACCTACTTAATCACCCAAGACCTATTGTAAAGCCAGTTTTGTACACAGGAGGCTGAAGATCCTAAGTTCTTCATACTTCAATATAAGCAAACAACTAATATTTTCTGGTGGCCAGATTGATAAAGGCTCATCGATTCAAAGCCAACATTTGCTACAATCCAAAGCCATCAATAAAGCTCTTCATGTTTTGACAAAGTATCTAAGACTGCACTTGCAACAGCATCACAGGGGTTACGTATGATATTGAATAACAGAATGCTGCGTGACTTTTAGGATGGGCTCCAGTTGCACAGATTTGAGTGAGTTTAAAATTAATTTGGCTATATTAGCAGTCCTTTAAAATCAGTAAAGGCATGCACATTCTACATGGAAAATGGGTCCCATGTAGAGGAATGAATGAACCATATTTTGCTTTTAAGCAAACAGCAGCAGCCACAGCTCGTCTTAGGGCAACCCCAGATTTCGCCAGGTCCTGGAAAACGGTCGTTTTTTAGCCTGCAGTGCTGCACCCATCCGCGGCTCGTTAAAAGCAGCCAGCGCAAGAGGCTACGGTGAGAGGCTCCGGGCGCTCGTCCTCGCGCCCCATGGCCCCGCATCCCGGGAGCGCGGCGGCAAAAAGGGACGGGAGCAGCGTTCCCGTCCGTGATGCCGGCAGTGCGTTTCCACGGTGCGAAAGCGACCGGGATTGCGCCTGGATCCCCACGCAAAAGGGTGTCGGGAAGGGAGAAAGCCCCTGGAGCCGGAGGAGAAAAGTTGGCTGGCAAGGCAAGGCTTAATGGCTGCAGATCTCACTCACCTACTCTGAGGATACAGACGAGCTGGATACAAGCGACCAGGCGCCCTAGAATGAGCATGTCCAAAGCGTCCCGTTCCGCCGCCGTCCGCGCGTGGCTCCGCGGCTGCCGCCTCGCAGCGCGCCCGCCTCTGCCCGCGGAGCCGCTGCGCGCCCCGCGGCCGCCCCCACGCCGCGGGTGGGACCAGCCGCGCTGCTCCTGCCGCTGCTCCTGCTGCTGCTCCTGCTGCTGCTGCTCCTGCCGCTCAGCGCATCGCAGCGGCTCCGGCCGGGGGCCGCCGATTCGCCCCGCGCAGCGGCCGCGCTGCCGCCTGCGAGAGGGGGAGCGGAGCGGCGAGGGCGGCCGTGTGCGTGTGCGCGGGTGCGCGTGTATATGTGCGTGCGTGTCTCTATGTGCGGGGGCGCGCGGCCGCTCGCGCGCCGGCGGGAGGGGCCGGGAGGCGGGCGGGGTCCCCCGGGACACCCGTTTTCCCTTCTCTCCCCGCTGCTTCCCTGCCAGGGAAAGTTTATCCCGCCGGGGAGGCGGGCGCGGCGGTGGCGGTGGCGGGGGAGGGCGCAGCGCCGCGGGCGGCCCCCGCGCTCCGCGGCCGCGCCGCGAGCAGGAGGCGCCGCGGGATGCGCGCTCCCCGCGAGCGGGGGAAGGGGCTCGGAGCGGCGGGATGTCACCGTGGAAGTGGGTCAGGGCGCCGGCCCTGGCATCACGGCTGTGGGAAGATAAAACAGGACCCTTCCCCCACCAAAAACACCCAAGCCCCAAACGAAATGAAGGTGCACCGACAACTCGGCCAATGGTGGGGAAGCTCTCACGGGGTGATCCCTGGGCCTGGCGCTCTAGAGGGTGGCCCCAGGGTCCATGTCCCCCAAGGCTGTGAGCAGCCACAGCCGGCCACCTCCCAGCTCCACCATCTTCCATTGGAAAGGGAGCCGGGCCATGCCTGCCCGGGGGCTGAGCAGTCTTTACTGGGTTGAGATACTCAGTCTCTGACATCCTGGTGCCAAAACACAGTCTTTAAGGATTGACGTTTCCCTGCATACCCCACACAGAGGTTAGAAGCAAGTGTGAATAAGTCTAGGCTTTAGGACCATTATGAGACACTCAGGATGCTCTGCCGTAGCGTGGGTCCTCCCAAGTGCAGCCCAGAAGCAGTGTGAATGGTTCCTGTATTTGCGATGCTGAATATCTCATCTGAGTGAAACTGTCTACTCAGCACGGATGTGAGGTGTTTTTTAATGGGGGACAACCTCAGTGTGAAATCACTTAGTGCTTTATAGGTAGACTGCTCTATGAGGCCTCTCACTGCTCAGGCAGAGAAACTCCTTACACTTTCTTCTCCTTCAAGAAAACAGAGACAAAAAATTCTGTCAGCTTTTCATTTCAACGTCCATTTCCTCCATCTGTCTGCTTAGGAAGTTATGAGCTATCTTGACATGAAGCAAATTGGAAATTTAAGTGAACAAAAGTTCAGGACAGAAGACATTGCTGGTAGTTCAAGGAGATGATTGTGTTTAGTAAGTAGACGGTAGCCATGTCTTCTCATGCAAGGTCTCATGCTTTCATGGCACTACAGAGTTTGCATACAATAGGATTTGGTTCATTAGCAGAAGGATTAGCTTTGAATGACAGTTCTCGTTAAACTGACTTCTGGTACCACGGGAAGAAAAACTGTGTGCTGAGCTTCTCCAGTAAAAGACTATTTTAGAATAGTCCTAAGGGAAAATATTGTTAAAGACTTCAGTCAGCTGATTTTTATGTTATTAAAATAATCCAAATGCCAGGAAGCAACTGTAATGACCTCCAAACCTATATACATGCAGACATGCTCAAACACATTGGCAGACATATGCAAGATAAAATTTTAATACCAGAAGATAATATATTCAAGATAAATCCCAGCTTCATCAGGATTTTGCAATTCATTTATTTTTCTGAGTAGGAATAAGTGTTATACAATACTGCAAAGCTATATCTGTATCTATATTTTATAACATATGTGATACAGTACATAGTACTCTATGTCTTCGAAAGCATACTAAGGAATAATATGTGTTCAGAAGATCTTGTTAAACACCACAGATGGGAAAGAAAGCATATATTCAGTCACTCCAAAGGTGGTTCTATATTGCCATAGCTATTATGCAATGATTTGATTAGACCCAGAGTCAGTGTCGTGCATGGCAAATAATGCTGTCAGTGTCTCAGGGACCTTCTTGTTGGTGCCTCCTTGCTTCCAGATCCTAGGCTCTGGTCAAAAGTTTTGTGACCAGATCAACACTGAAGGATCAGCTTTAACAGCTATTAGTTTGGTTATCATGTCTGAGCAGGTGTTGGAAGATCTTCAGGTTGAACAATATGTTTACTTTTCTGCAGAGTTACTTTAAGAATTTCCTTTTATTTAACCGTGAAGAAGTCATCAATCATAAACACACCCACACTCAAGGACAAGCACAGAATTCATAAATGGCACAGCTGTTTGCCAGTTCTCCAGAAAAAAATGACTATACAGAGGGAATGGGAATATCATCCTGGCAGGGTCTCTGTGTCAATAGGTAATTTTCATTTTCCAATTTCCAACATTATTTTACAAGAAGAAACGTAAACCTTTAGGACAGACAACCAGTGAACATGTCAAGTATTTGAAAATCATATTAAATCTTTGTATTGACCACAATATAAGTGGTCTTGCTAAATATTTGATGTGCAGTTTTGTAGCTTGTAATATATAGAAAATAAGAGCAGACTATTAGGGTCACCTTTGGCCTTTCAATATCTATATACACTAGATAAGAATAAGAATAAAATGATGATATCCAGATATAGCTGCTAGGAACAGGTGTTGATGAAATAGAAAAGACAGAAGGCAAGATGCCAATGCCTGCAGTACCTCTCTAGTTCTTGCACATCTTGGAAGGATGGTTGGTGGAGAAGATTTCTGTACAGTTTAGGAAACACTTGACTGTGATAGGATGATTCAACAGTTCTTCAACTTTAGCAATAAGTCGTGAAATTTTAGCTTGTGCTAATGTATAATGGTGGGTCAAATTCACCAATATTTATTTGGAACTAAAATCTGTCAAGCAAATCAATTTATTAGTTATAATTAAATGATTGTTATTATAGTTCCTGTGTGCTCTTATATAAAATATAAATAATCCACAACATGATAAGGTAGCAAGCAGACAAAAGAAGATGGGATTATATTTAACATTTGTTTAAATTTTCAATATCTTTAAATTCTAAAGCTTATTTTCATCATTATAATCAGTAAATATGTGGGAATAATATAATATAAATATACATATATAAATTATATAAATAATATTTATCTTTCATTACTTAATACTTCTACTTGTCCTTTCTTAGAATAATGAGCAAATCTTGATGAGAAATAGGTCCCTCCTTTATTTCTATGTTATTTTCTCTTTTGATAATCTTTTTCCTTTTAATGCTTTATTATTTCACTGTTTCATTTTCAGTCTTATTTTATTCTTCTCATCCTATGTTGAGCATTTTATTTAAATCTGCTCTTTTTATCCATTGTTACATTCGTTCTCAGTCTAAAAGAATCTTTTATCAGTGTTACTGTATTTTCTCTTGTATTGTGACAATCTTGTTATTTTCCGGGGTGAGTCATTCTGTTTCTGGGCAGCTTTTTTTTCCCCAGATTTTTGAGTGCTTATAATTTTTTAGAATAATATGAATTTCTTCATGTATTTTCTTTCTTACGGTATGTGCTTTATTTCTCAGTACTGTCTTTGATACTAATCACATCCTGTTTGGAGTTTATATGCATCTTTTCCATTCTTTTCTATGGAAGGCTATTTCATCAGTATCTCTTGATATAGTACAATATGTTATTGGGAACTTCCATTTTATTTTATAATTTATTAGAGGAACACATCTATAAATTCAAAATATTAAAAAAGCTTGTACAAAATCTTGTCCTAGCAGTAGTCATGAGTACCATCATTAGGAATGTCGCCCAGCCACATATTGCAATAACCAAACCACAGTTCATTAAAGTCTATATTTAAGTCAATTTATCAGATCTGTCTGTTTATCATACTATTTTTTCAGAGAACTTTTTACCCTGAGTAAAGAGAAACATCAGCAGTGGATCTGAAAACTTTAATATTAAGACACAAAATGGAAAGTAAAAACAATATTTATGTCTTCCTCAATTTTTCATGTTACCAGAATTTCAAGACCATTAAAAATTATAAATAAAAATTCAAAATGGTTCTTTCATATTACAAGTGACTTCTATCTTTTATACTCTGAATCGCATTATTTCCATTGTTTGGATTTTCATTACACTCCCAAATTCAACTGCCTCTAGGAAAACGGAGAGAGGAGAAAAACACTGATATTGAACACCACATTTAGTCCTTTGTTGCATAGATCTAACTGAACTGCTTTTCATAGATAAATCTCAGGACAGTAGATTTTATAAATTTTCCTCTCAAAAAAAAAAAAAAAAAAAAAAGAACCATAGAATTTTAGAGTTTGATAATAGGCAGGTGTCATCAAATAATGGAAGAGCTAAGGGAGACAGAATCATAGATAATCTAGTTTTATTCTTTTAGCTCTCTGTAATAAGTTGGACAGTGGTAGGACACTAGATGCACTAAAACCAGCAGAATTTAAACCTGTTTTTACAAGTGTCTATCCCAACTAGCTGTTGGGATAATGTTTCAGTACTGTCACTTAATGGCAGAGCAGAAGTACTGATGGAAGGTTCATGTCTAGAAATCCTATGTGCTTTTCCTGGCCCTATTAGTTGATCTCATAGAAAAAACACATCCCTACAACCTCTTCCTCTCCTGACATAAACCATCCCATACCTAGCTTATACCTTGAGTGGTAAAAGAGCTCCCTCTCATTACATCTGCTGAAGAATAGCCTTCTGACCCAATTACCTACAAAAAAGAGTTGTTACAGAGATTAGTGACATGCAAGAAATAAGCAATCTTGGGCTGAAATGCAAACTTTGAACAATTAAGCCTTTTATGAACACTGAGTCAAATCTGTCTACATTCCTTCATAATCATTTGTGTCTGTTCAGTCACAAATTTACTTTTTTCTCTGCAAAA